AGCATCCTAAAATTAGTAAAATTGCAAAGTTTGGTTGCGAAATGTTGTAAAATACGGAAAATATAGCCCTGTGAAATTAGCAAATTTTGAGTATTTTATATTACGCGCGGTAAAAATAACCACTTTCGGCTCAAAAATGGTTATTTTTACCGCGCGTAATACTAAAATACTCAAAATTTGCTAATTTCACAGGACTATATTTTCCGTATTTTACAACATTTCGCAACCAAACTTTGCAATTTTACTAATTTTAGGATGCTCTTTTGAGCTATAATGATATATGTCGTCTTTCTTGTCCAGATAAAAAATTAGTCGATAGGCTGGACTTGTCTATTGATTCCATGAGAACTCAAACAAATTACTCGTACAAGTATTGAAGAGATGATTTGGGATTAACTTACCACGCTCTCTTCTCATTGCTTTGACAGGATTTACTGTTGCTATACCAGCTGCACCATTTAATGCACCAAGCACTTGTGAAGACACTGACTGACTCATCTACAAATTCAGAATATTATAGCATTCATTTTGTGAAACTACATGGTGGAAACAACATTCAAAGTACATGGTGAAAAAAGAGAAGGTAAGATTTTACACTGAATTGCGTTGCATAAACAGTAATTACTAGAATGTTCCAAGTAGTCCGACGTACTGTAGTCAGGGGTAGTGTACCGCGAGTAAACCACGAAACATCTGGAGTAGGTGAAACACCAAAACTGGTTTTGGTGTTTCACTTTAATTGCCACTAACTGAAGATCGCCAATTCATTCAGTTGTTGTGCAAGACCTATATATGCACGACTGAAATGTGACTGAGCTTGACTAGAATACTCATATTTACACATTCCACACTTCATCTACAAGGACTTGTGTGTGTGTGACGCTAAAGACGTCATCATGACGTTGATCATTTGCGTTAAACTATCTTCCAAGAAAAAATCTGACACAATTTGTTCTCAGTTAAGCATTGCCGGTATAGATTAGCGCTATTCAAGCTTAGTGGTTTGCATGGATCGATATTTTGTCATGTATATAACTGACGGATGATCGTTTTCTTTGAAGTCTGCAATATACAGTAGCATGTTCTAATGGAAAATTTAAAACATTCTTGAACCAAACTTACTTTATCGACAACTTTGTCAAACCATTTTGGTGGTTCTTCATCACTGAGGGAAACACCACTCAAATCTCGTTCAACCTGTTTCACTCCCTCGTCCATATTTTGCTTTTTTGCCAACTCATGTGCAGGCACCTCATTCGTTCTTGACGGATTTCTCCTTTTCATCTCTTTTCGTTCTTTTTGACTTTCATCAGGTTGGCCAAGCTTCATGGCTGCAATGTCGTCAGCTAACGATGCATAATACTTGCTCCCTCGAAGTGACTTTTCCTTCTTAGGCTTTTTCTTGGCCTTGCCACTACTCTGGCTGTCTTCGCCTTTTTCAGACTCCACAATATCGCTGCACAATGACGTGTAGAATCCAATCCGTCTGCGGTGTGGTCTTGGCTTGGGCGTTGGCTTTTCATTGATTGTCAAGCTCGACAATGGTTCAACCAAAACGTTAGGACTGCGGTTTGTGGAAGCTGCGCTGTCATCTGAGTTCATCTTGTCAACTGACAATTGTCTTTGGGTTGTATTTGAACAATCACTTGGCTAAATCAATTGAGTATATTTAGACCTTATAATTGTAAATTTAAGACACATTTTCACTTGCTACTCTGGTTTAATTAAATAAATTAATGTGATCCCTGATCATTACTAGAGAGGGTGAGAGGGATGCAAATTTTCCAGGGGAGCGTGTAGATTTTCTGGGGGGGCAGTACATTTCCAGTTATCTTACTTTACTTTGACCCACAGAGCCACCCGTAACAATTTGTTGTAACTAACCTTGTTGATCATTGCACTCATGGTGGGATTTTCCTGTGTGATAATGTTGATCTTCAGTGATGAAAGGTTTTTTCCAACCTGGGTAATTTAATCAATGTACATGAATAAAAGTTAATTTTTAAGATCATAATCGGCAGCCATAGGCTTTATTAAAAGTAACACTGATGACTATACTTAAATATAAATGACAATCGTGGCTTACTTTGAAGGCTTCTTGTAGCTCGTCTATATAGGTGCAGAAAATGAATTATCAGTAAGTTAATTGCAATGGAAGTTTTAATCAAGAATGAAAAAAATATTAAGTAACAACTTTGTTATACACATATATGTGTACTGTACTAACCCTGAGATCCTAGTTCAACCTGCAATGAAAAATTGAAGTTTTTATAAAGTAATTTTTTATATTTATTTTTAACTGTAAGGCACTATACTGTAAATAGAATAGAATAGAATAGAAACTTTATTTCATGAGGGAAAATGTATTAACCATAAAAGTTATCTAACATACAGCCCTCGCACTATTTTGATATTTACAGGCATAAAATGTATTAACATAAAATGTATTAAAGATTACGACTATTTACATATGAGAAAAAAATAATTAGTAATGAATACAATTACAATTTAGTAAATATTTACAATTTATACAAAATAGATCTTCGATATGGTTAGTAAGGTTAAGCTTGTTAAGAAAGATTTTACAATTTTTTTATTTGGCGATAGTATATGAAGAGCAAGATGGCGAAGCAGCAAGTTGCTTACAATCGCTATGTTCTGTAACAGCAAAGATTTGGTTCATTGTAAAACAAATTTGGCTTAAATGGTACCTATTGACTTGGATCATGGTGTACAATGCATCTATTTTATGCTGAAAACATTAGGTTTACTGGTTGTGGGACCAAACAGTAAACCAATTATATGAACTGAGCATGAGCAATATATCTGATATGCTCCCACATTTGTAAGACAAAGAAGATTGAAATAAATTGTAGCATCAGTATGTCTTAGCCAGTCTTCTTCATTGCTCCAACCTGCTCCAACTGTCATCTCAGATGGTATAGAGTGTGTTAGTGTGATATCACCAATATGTGCAGAAGGTACCAGGTTATTATTCTCATATAGTGACTGGGTAACATGGTGTTGTTTTCATATAATAACCTGGCTGTTAATCCCATATTATATTTTTCTTGGAAAATATCAACTTTTACACACCACTTGAACCTACCAATTCACACAAAGTAAGATTTAATGGTATTTTGACTTATATTTGTGACTAAAAGTGTGTAAATAACTAAGATATTTACCTGATTACGCAAAAAATATATCACAAGATATTTATATAAATATTAACATTAGAAAAATGCAATTTTTAATACTCGTCTACATTGTTTTAACCAAAAATCAGCTCTTACCGAATCTCCTTCTTCGTCGCTGTATTGCAACTGGCAATTTGAGACGCCAAAACTGTTTTTCAACTTCAAAAAAATGGAAAGTCCCTTATTTATAATTCACAATTTTTAAAACGCAATCGAAAACAAGCTTAAAATTCAATTCGTACCAGCTCATAAAAAGCATCGTATGAAACGTCTTTAGGTATTTTCAGAAGTCTAATAACTCCTTGACACTTCGCTTTTATCTTTAGTTTCTGTCGTTCTGACATGACGTCCAACAGAAGCAAAATGTGTTGATGTTTTCGTTTCTAGAAGAATTCTAGTCAGCCCTTTTATTCTGTTTACTGTTTTATTGGGGTTTTTTTATATGGCTTGGTTACTGCGCAGCCGTGGTGTTGCCACTTTCAGGAAATACAAAGCGAAATAAAGCGATTCTTTGTAGTCTTTGCTTGTCTTTCTTTCACTCTTTGCCATAAAATTTACCGATATTTTGGCTAGAAAAATAGGAGGAATTTAACTTTTCAGGACACACGTCGTATTTTTGTATAAAACAGACTTTGTCGAGAGAGGAATATAAGCGAGAAAGGAATATCTATTTCGTTAAATTATACAAAATTTATGCCGGAAGTATTTTTTTTTGAAATGGAAATTGCGAACGATGAATTATGACGTAATGCAATTACGTAATTGTAGTGGTTTTAGAATTGTGATTAGTCAGGATGATGGAAGGACGAATATAAATTGTCTGAATAGGGGAAAAGGATTAAAAAAAAATGGAAAAATATATATTTATTTTTGGTGATAACGTACATTATAGTTACCAGGGAAAACATTTTGCTCTAATTTTGTGCTTGTGGAAAAAACAAAAACATTGTGAACGCAGGTCCCATCCGGTCCGCAACCACAGCAGGTCCGGCCGCGATGATTACACAACACATCTGCACTGCATGGCAATTTTTAATATTACGAGCTAAGCATGAATTATCCTTACTCCTAACACACCCTGTCAACTTTTCCTGTGGGAGGACTGATTACCCGCACGACTGTTTTGAATTCCAGGAGATGAACAAACTCCGGTTAAACGGCTACGTTTACACACAACGATTAATCGGGTAAACGATATTTGAAAAATACAGCGAACTTTTCATGCGCTGAACCTAACACATACAGTAATTTTGAACGTAAATTACCATATCATTATGATATATTTGCAATTTCCCACTGAAATCTCTGATATAGTGTTGTTGTGAGGGTGCGATACTTCGCGTACTTACGTACCGGAGGTACGCCTGTTTTCAGTCACGTACCACGTAGGTACGCGGAACTCTTGCTATCTGCGTACTTACAGTTTGCTGGTACTATATGACTTTTCCAAGTCCAAGGTTTTCAAAACCGTAAGCGGCCACTCCAAATTGGACTTTAGCTTCCCGTCCTGGATAATGGAAATGGCCCGCCCGCCCGCGTGTAGTTTGAAATAAGGGCCGGACGGGAAACTGAAGGTCTAATTTGGAGAGTATACATGTGTAAGTTTGATATGTCTTGGCATGAAGGAACATGATTGGACGGGTGGGACTGCAATCTCGTTCCCAGAGTATGCCTGTTCGCGGGTTAGGTAGTGTCATGCCACTACCTAACCCGCGAACAGGCATACTCTGGGAACGAGATTGGTGGGACTGAAGAATGTTGGCTTCAATTGTAAGGCCGGTTTGTTACCTTTCACTGTTTCGGAAATTCGACGTTTCGAGCGAAGGCCCTTAGTCTGGAGTTACTAGCGGGGATCGGCAAAAATACATGACCTTTTATGCTCAGAATATAAAAACATCACGTGACAAAAAATAAACCAATCAGATGGATTTAGTCAAAACAAATTATATAAAAGTTTTTAAGAATTGCCTTTCTCACGCTCGCTGAGACGCTCAGAGTAACATGAGAAAGAAATGACCTCAACTAAGTCTAAGACAGTTCTACACATGTCGTGATTAAGTGAATAATATTATTATTTTGAGCATTATTCATGCTTGCCACATGTTTACAATTATTCAGTGACATTGTTTCAGTAATATCATATCGGTCTGTTTCAGTGTAAGTAGGGATACAACTACCTGAAAAATACAAGGAGAACTTCGACGTTTCGAGCGAAGGCGCTTCGTTGAGAAGTCTTTAGCGTTTCTCCCACCATTACTGTTTCTAATTTTAACTTCATCCTCATGGTAGTTCTTAACCGCACTCGAGTGAAACAATAAGACTCTTGCAACCATCACGTCATTTGTAAGTACATGTATCTTTATCTACCAATACTGACGTTTTCCACATGTGCGTGTCGCACGGAAAAGTTGAAATCTTTCTAAATTTTATATTTAACTACTAACTACCTCAACAAATACACATTAAATCATGGCTTTCAGTTGGATCTCAGTCTCATGTAGCATCTTCAAGGCCGTTGGAAGTAAATCAATATGACTCAATCACTTTCTTGAATAAATCTGAATTGTTTTGCACTTTTCTACTTCTTTTGTGTGTTTTGCTTATATACAAATAGAATTATTGAGGGGGGGCTCATGCCCCCCCCCCCCCACTTCCGACGGCCTTGGCATCTTACTTTGGTGTGTGATCGGGTGAAGAACACTGAATGCAGGGGTGGGGGAGTGAGGTATAAATGTTTGTAATAATTTGCATAGATGCACTGCTGATATAAAACCGCAAGTGTCCCAACAATATCACTGCAGTCGGTAAAGAATGATTTACATAAAATACACAAAAGACGATATTGATGCAGAATATTTCACATCGTTCATAATGATTTGGGGACCAGGGTACCTACGATTTTTTAACGTCCTTATCCGAGAAGACGCGAAAGTCTAACCATTTACTGATGTCAATGTAAAGGTAGCTCCGAGTCTCCTCAATTACTTTAAGACCTTGAGTAGAGGTCCGAGCAAGGATTGAACCCGTGTCTCCTAGCTTGAAAGGCAAGCGTGGTCACCACACCACAAGTGCTGACTCTTTCATTTCGACCAAAGTCAAGTCGATAAGATCAAGGTTCATTTGATTCACGTGTAGATAGAAGAACGTCGGCGTTCTGAAAATGAAACCGTGCATGCAAGAGCTCAATAGGAGTTCCATTTTAATTTCAGCCGACAATTTTAAGGAATACAAAACAAAACATATTCCGAATAATAGCATTTTGTGCGCTCAAGTTTTGAGTTACCAACAGGAAGACCACATATCGTCTCTTCAAGCCGAAGTACGCAGGGGGAGGGAGTGTTGCAGAATCATTCCTGATTCACAAGATTATATTAAAAAGTGGCGTTTTGCTTAATAATTTATATTAGTATTTTTGCACAAGTGAATATAACAAATCCTACAAGTTGATCGGTCAAATTTGACGTATTAAGCTGCTTTATTCACCTACAGGTGAATATAACAAAACCGAAATTTTCAAAATGGCGGTTAGCCGTTTTGTGGAAGTTACTGATAAAGAAATAAGCGAAATTAAAATAAATTCAGTCCCAAAAAAACACAAAAGACTTGTGTAAAAATACTAAAACAATTATTCGCCTCCGGCTCGGTGACCACGCCTTCGGAGAATAATTGTTAATTAAGAGGCAATTTTTTTCCATGTCGCGTATCTGCAATGAAAAGTGTTCAAAACCTAAAATCTTTTTGGCGTTCCTCTCAAAATTACTTTGTTTTAGCTTTATTCTCTAGTTTATAGGGTTAGCAACCTTTTTAAATGCATCTGCCAGTTGAGAAACATAAAATAATAGTTAAAAATTGTCAATTAAAATACAATTATCAATCATGATGCTTTAAAATTGACGCCATATTTACAGCCTGCATATAAGCAAAACTTACTGAACTTCAGACATCATTTTCTCTTTGGCGTATCATCTAAAATCTCTTCATTTTAGCATTATTTTACAGATAAAGCACTGAACATACTTTTTAAATTTGTTTGCCGATTGAGAAACGTATCGAAAAACTAAAATTTTGAATTCAGTATTTTATGATTTTAGTCATAACCTCAAGTGATATATTATACGCATTAGCAGAGACGCATTAGTTTTGAGCGCGTGTTACGTAACATACATAACACGCGCTCACTCCTCTTAACATTATCAAATGAGTATACAGTTAAATTTTCTCTGGGGGCATACAGAAACCACAAACTAACACGCTTCATGAACTACACATGTTCCACTCTTGTATACGTACTGATAAAGACTGAGTGGCATGTACTTCACTTACATATTCACGGTACACTCGATAGAATGTTATACACATTCGGCCTTGAAGCTGTATCAGCTGTATAGACCTCTATACAGTTAGCTTATCCAAGTGAACTTTTGTTGGTGACCTTTCGTTAGTTTGAGGTTTTGGAGAAAGTCTGAGGGTGGTGTGCAAATTACATCGACCGAAGACAGCAATGGATAAGTGCATATATGTATGTATAAGCATGTTTAATTGTTGCTTTTCGTAGCGTTTTGTGGAAATTTGAAGATATGAAAATCACTCTTGACATACATTTTTTTAGCAGAACAATCTTGATATGGAACAAATCATAGCCTCGTCACAACAAAACGCTTTGGAGAAACAACATTTAACGTTCGAATGCAGTGTAGAGGACCTACTTTGTCTCCTCGAGTGTTCACCGCTCGCGGAGACTGCGCGAAGCCCACGAACCACGCGTGATACCGCGTGGACCCCACGCAACATGTGTGATGCCGCGTGCCAGACTAATGACGTCACGCCATCGATAAAGAAAACCGCTGACTCGAAGAAGCGTCACGGCAAGCGAGAACGAGCTACTTACAGAGAGCGACAGAGACTGGGAACACTGAATGATGCATTTCGTAAATTGAAAGATGTTGTACCGAGTGCGCATGGGCAAACGAGAAAGCTAGATGTCCTTAAAATGGCCTCGCAGTACATTAAAGACATGACTTTAATACTGACGGAATCTTCGGAGACATAAGAAAGAACTTTTATGCAAGAGGGGAAAACCACTGGACAGTACGAGCCCGTGCTCTCCTTAATGTGCCAGGTTCATTTTTCTTGGCTTGTGCGTTAATTAGAACTAGACATAATCAACTTTTCAAACTAGCGTCAGATATGTAGATTGCAACCAATCTTCTAGGAATTTAAAGACAATAAAACGGCTGTCATCTTGATGGCAAATTCCATGAAATATAATGAGATTCATTCGTTGGTACACATGGTACACACTAACGTAACGTGCAACGACCAATTAGAGAAACATTTTTGAAATAAAATATTTAATTAAACACTTTAATTAAAAGTACACTACTTTATGACTACGTGCTACCTAGACTTAATCCCGGTGGAATTTCTTGATCTTTTGTTGTGTTTGCGAAATCTTGACGTGAAGATGGATTTACATGTTTACTCCATTGTCGCTTTTAGTTTCTAATAATAAAATATTTTAAATTAGACTAAACGTTAAAACACCACAGATATAGGCACTTCAATCACCATTCAGTGATCGGAATGCTCCATTGTCTTTTCATTGTTTTGAAAATCCCACTGTTCTCCATGCCATCCAGTCATAATCCGGTGATCAGAATGTTCCATTGTCTTTTCAGGCTTTTCATTGTTTTGAGAATCCCACTGTTCTTCATGCCATCTTAACACTCATTGTTTTGACTTATTTGTGATGATCAGCAAAGGGCATTTAATAAGTGACTACAGCCACGACTTTATGAAACCTCCATTGCTCTTTTACCTTAGTTCTCTTTCGAACACTGGCGTTATCCTGCGATACGTTTTCAACAGCATCATCTTGTGAGGTCGTCTCCTCATTCAGCTCCGGTTTCATATCATCTGCACCAGCTTCGTCATCCGCATCCCCAGATTCACTTGTGTCGCCGGAAGGTTGAGGTGAAGAGGGTGATACCACACCAAGTAGAAAATCTGACAAGAACACTAGAACCTACAGGGGAGGAAAATATGCCTTTTAATTAACTGTATAATTAAAATGACTGCAGACAAATTTTTTATCGCGGAATATAAGAAACGTTATTGCTCGATTTATCATCAGGACGCATCATCCGACTGACAAACTATTGCTGAATAGCACGATGTATTTATGCGACGATTGTGGAAAAAAAATCATGCTTGATATTTTTCTGATCGTTCATCTATAAACGCGGAATTTAAACACAACGACAGATTATCCGTGAACAGTCCACCCAAGTAAATCTGTGTTTGGGTGTCTGAATTACGCAGATATGTCGTAAATCAGACTGATTTTATAGGCTCTTGTGGAAATGAATATGTCAGCCAGCCAATCTAACTGAGCAAAAATATAAACTTTTGCCACGTTTCCTAAAGCAAGGCCCTTTGTCAATAGTTAGTAGCATTTATATACACAGGCGAATTATCTTTGCGCAAATTTTTTCCAGAAGGATCATCGGTTTTGTGTAAACACGTGCATAAACCACGTGGTGATTATTTCGCTGCAAAGAAAAGGAATACAAACCATTCCTAGTATTAGCCCAGCAAGAACAGTTGCAACACCAAATAGAACATAAGAACCCCAAGCTGGAAGGCCATAGCTTTCTGTTAATACTGTGTGGATATTCTGAATAAGAAATAAATAAAACTTAGCTTAGACTGAATATTCAAGCTCAATGAAATGTGCAGTGCGCACAAGAGAAAATATTGCACACCATCAAAGTTTCTGTGAACACAGTACGATTTGTAAGAAATGTTTGGGAACTGACAGACTAAGTGTTAGTCCATCTGGGAACTGACAAAGTGTTAGTCCATCACCTTAAAAACGACTGATGCTTTGAAGACCATACCCAAACCAGACATTCTATAAAATTACAAAGATTGGAAATAAAACACTGGCTATTCGATGGTGAATGTATTCTTAAATAAGAAGCAGGCAAACAACTTACAAGAATGAACCTGGGGATTTCCACGATGGAACAGGTTCAACGTTCTCCCATTTCTTTTGTTCAATAAACTCCACTAAATCATCCAACTTTCTTTTTTCTTTGTACAAACGAAACTCTCCATGCATGGCACTACATGAAATTTGTTCAATCAGATTCAATAATCTTCTGCACATTTTTACATTTTTTTATGCAGGAAATGCATAATTGTGACTTACTGATAAATTGTTGGCAGCGACACAATCCCAAAACGTCCGCTCAGTGCTGTATTGAGAAGAAAATAAATTAGAATTAATTTGCACTTTCTATTGATGTTGACATTCTCTTTCCATTATTTAATTCATACAACATAATTCAAATAAAGTTAACCCATTTTACTCTGCCATACTAACAATAGAGAGGTTCAAAATTGACTTCCACTACCACTACCTCTCACTGGCTTAGTAAACATCTGATTGGTTGATCGGATATATCAAACACATCTGATTGGTTGATCAGATATATCAAACATCTGATTGGTTGATCAGATATATCAAACACATCTGATTGGTTGATCAGATATATCAAACACATCTGATTGGTTGATCAGATATATCAAACACATCTGATGGTTGATCAGACATATCAACGGACGGAAAGTCTAAACCTCACTAATGTAGTATATCCCAGAGAATACTACTCTCAATCTAATACAAGATTATCGTGCCCATTAAGGGAGAGTTTTGGTCATTAATGTTTTCAAATATGAGGCTAGAAACAACACACAACCTGTGCTTTTAGTGACATCGACCTCCGCAACTTGGACATTTAGCGTCTCTGCTTGCACAGCAAATTTATCCCATGTCGGTCTGAGGTTTTTACATGCAGGACACCACGGTGCATAACTGAAATACGAGAATCATTATGTTAGCCCTGTGAGGAAATGTTTTATATTGCAATCGAGGGATGCACATGTTTTATGGAAAAACAATGTATCCCGAGGTATGTGACTGACTTATCATGACTGTGGTTTTCTTTGAGAAAAGCTGCCGTGCTTGTGGGACATTGAATCTGTTTTCGCATGTATGTTTTGTCAGTTGACGTTTCACACATGGTTGATCATGCACATTTCATCATTTAACATCCAACAAGCAAAACAGCAAGTATTCTTATATATAAAATCAGAACTGCAGCTGCATCATTTGTGGCTAAACCTCGGCTGCTGTGTGATGGTCTTTGCGCCTTTTTTCATTGTTTTGCGGCTGGTCGGGTCTAAATCTCCACCAACAAAAACTGTTCAGAAATTTTTCTGAAACTTCCATAGTGCTGGATAGTCGAGTTTGACGGATCCTTGGGCAAGGCTGAAGATCATTTGCTTGTCCCTTTCTCATCTAGAGATACAAGACATTATCGAGTGATTCGAGAATGAGGGGTTTGATTTTGTAGTTGCTTCATTTGGCTACAAATTCAATCCCCGAAAAAAAGGGAGTCTCACACAGGGCTTGAACCTTTGATCTCCAGACTGCTAGCCAGCTGAGGGTCTGGCGGTTTATAGCCAAATGAGGCAATCGCGTCACCCTTCAAACTCACAATTTTATCATCCAATGTCCTTGAAGAACTATATCCCAATTATCTTCAGTAATCTCCTCACTCTCTCCTAAAACCAACGCACCGTTCAACGCAAGGAACATAAAGAAAACACAATAAAATGTCGTTCGTAAACGAACAAAAGCTCGCCTCGCGGTAGCCATATTGGAAAAAGGAAGTTGTTGTGTTTCCACTTAGCAAAGAAAAATACTTTCCAAAGGAAATTTTTTTTGAATTTTTTTTCCATGTGGAAAATTTCAAATATGGCCACCTTCAGAGGGATGCATGCTTTTTCAAGAAAAGCTTGCAAGATTTTCGATTTTAAACCAAATGGAAACGTAAGTATTTTGAATGAAATAATGTACTCATACTTCTAGCCTTTCTGCTATAGTATTTTTTTGTTTCTCGACATTGATAGGTACTAAAATCTCGGTCACAATTGGCTCAAATTTTGGGCAGCTCAGTTCGAGCCAATGGTTCGGTCTCTATAGTCAGTGTTTCACCCAAGACCAGGCAACTGTTGAATACTATCAACAGAAGTAATAAATGGTATGTGCATTTTATCTGTTTTTTTTTAAGATTTAATTTATTTTTACAAAAATTCTAATATTTGCCATACATGTGGTGATGTGGATAGGAATTAAATATTGGACCCATTAGTATTGCAATTATTGGCAGATTGCATTTATTTTTTGCACAGGGGGGTTGAGAACATCTTTACCAGTAAAAATTGCAAACCCCCTGGAATTTAGTTTGTTTACCCCCACTCCACCCCCCCCCCATCCTGCCCCCAGGCGGAATTTCTATGATTTCATCATCAGATCTCAGTGTGCCATATCACTAAGTCTAAGCTAGGTATGCTAAAACATTGCTGTATTCTTATTAAGCCTTCAAGACTAAACCTTTAAATTCATCATTTAGGAATACATCTTTATTTGAAAATATCACACGAAGTTCCAGTTCTGTCGTTTGTCTACTCAGTAATGGCAACACATCTTTGCTGGCAACCTTGTGTTCAGCCCTGGATGAACTTTCTACCGAGGGTGACGAGGACTCAACAAATAGGAAGAAACGTATATATCTCGCCGGACGATTGAACGATGATCCATAGGTTATGAGTGGTGGTAGAGTATGAAAATTTTATCTGCAAAGGTAACACAATGTCGCTGGTAACACAGCTGTAGTAAGACTGCAACATGAAACGCTTCTTGAAAACAGCATTTGTTGATGAAACTTGTGGTAATATGTATGTGTTTTATTTGCATGAAAGAAAAGAGATTTTACCATGTGGAGTTTTTGTTTTTTCTTTGGAAATCTTTGAGGAAATTGGTTTGTGACATATATTCTTTGTGAAAACCTTTTGTGTACAAGGGTGGATTTTCATTTATTTAAAAGGAGGGGTAGAAAAATGTCTGGTGGGGTGCAAGCAGCACCACTCAGTGAGCTAAGCTTTGGCAGGGGTTAACTAGGCATTTGGGTTAAAGCCTTTCACACAAAATAGGAGGGGTGAAGTGAAATTTTGGTGGGGTAGAACACTTTATTAGAGGGGTTAGATAGTCCCATTAGGGGTTAGATATTAGAGGGGTCTGCCCATGTTTCTGCATGTCCAAATTTGGGTAAGTTACAATGCACTATATCCTAATGCCAGAGGCGCTTAAAGAACGGCAAAGCAAAAGAACGATGAAAGAGCCTGGGATCAAATCAATTCTGAATCTCACTTCCATACTGGGTGAGGTTGAGATTGATGAGGTTCAGAATCTGAACCTCGTTTTTGGGATTGAGACGTTAGGTTTTAACTAAATGTCACATACATAAAATGGAGGCCTTCAAACAACCAACTCTTGGAGATCCCAGCTAACAGATCAAAGGCTTTGTTGGTATACATCTAATATAGATGTTTCCACACAGCAAAATAACAGACTGTACTGTTTATTGCAGTCTTCATGTTGTTATTTCCATATAACCTTCATGTACACCTGGCATGCTACAATAGGCAAACAATGAAAAAAGGTCATTGGGGCAAAACTGCAATAAACAGTATTAGTATTTTTACACAAGTGAATGTAAGAAATCCGATGTGGTGATTGGTAAAATTTGATGTGATATTCCCTTATATTCACCCACAGGTGAATATAACAGTAAAAACTAGTTTACAAAATGGCGATTAGCCATTTTGTGGAAATCACAGGAAAAGAAATAAGCGAAATTAAATTTAATTCAGTCCCAAAAAACAAGACTTGTGTAAATATACTAAAACAATGATTCGCCTCAGGCTTGGTGATTATCGGGGAATATTCTCTATAGTTACTGCCTGGTAATAGGCACAAAAATGAATATAAAAATTAAATAGTTTAACATTCAATAGAATTTCATTGTGTAATAAAGCATTGTCCATCACTGCGAATCTGCATTCACAACGTAAGATTGAGCATTTGCATGGTTTAAATAAACACCTATGGCTACAAAAACAGTTGGTAGAATATTTTTACGGTAACACATTATATTTTATTGAATTTTAAACTATTTTAGTCATTTTGTTGTTGATTTTGGGCGTAATAGAAAACAATAACAAAAGCCGACTATATCAAGGTGGCCTGGTGCCTGGTGGGATTAAAAATCCTAGAGTCTTTTTGGTAGCGTGAGTAGAAAGTTTGTCACTTGTCGCAAACTTTTTAAGGGTGGACAAACACAGCAATGGAAAGGAAGCATCGAGATTTTCAGATGATACAACAATACTTCTACATTTGCCAAGGTCTTTATCTTGTGCGTTTTTACGCGTGAAGAAGCGAACGCGCGTGCGTGCATGTCTGATACGTGCACACGCGCAAACACTCCATTCTTCTTGTGCGACGTCATAATTGGTGTAATTATAAGTGCTTTAATAAAGTGAAAGTCATGACTTGAAGCAACATTATGAAAGTATTATTTTTTCTTTTGTTTATTATATTATTTTGTTATCATGTCCAAGTTGGCAAATCTGAACGCCTAAATGATGGTTTTGGTTTTTACTCGAACGACCTCTACTTCGCCCAGAAACAATATGACAAATATAGTAAGAAGTACATGCGAGTCAATTTTCCGATCACTTATGAGAAGTATCCGAAAAGAATACCAACATTTGTTGATGACACTTATTGTAAGTATTATGAACGGTACAGGGTGTGCGATCATTCGAGATTTTTACTCGTACCTGACTGGCACAGCAGTGGTTGTTGCCGCGTACTTGCGCTAAACTCAGTACTCGATGTGTACTTAGTCATTAAAATAAGGTTCATAAAGTACCGGGTTCTGAAAAGTATGTTCAGATTACGAGGTAGAAAAAGGAGCACAATTGCATATACAAACAATCGACTCCAACGTTTCTTAGCGCCATCAGTGTTTCATGCCAAGACATCTCAGACACATGACATACAACTAAATTACGGTATTGAATACCTTGGGCTTGGAAAGCACAAAGTAAATATGCAGATAGCAAGAGTTCTGTGTACCCTACGTGGTACGTGACTGAAATCAAAGAAGTACCAGACCGTAATACAGGAGTATTTCCGGCACGTAAGCTGTGACGTAAGTACGCGAATTGTCGCACCGTGTCGGCAGAGTGTCCCATGCGCGAGGGAGAGTGACTGATCATGATCAACCAAATGGCCTTGCAATGTTCATAGCGATGTGTCATGTTGCAAGCGGCACAAAGACTGTTTGCACTATAAAAGTTTCTGTGATCACAGTAGCAATTTTGCGTAGATAAGTTTTGAAGGATTTGTAAGAAATGAGAACTGACTAACGCCCGTATTCTAAAAGCACACTCACACTCCATGAGTGGCGGTTCATTCTGAGCTTCTCTTAAGTGTCAATGCTGTTTTTGAATAGCTGGAGGGTGAGTAGGCACTGAGTAAGATATGACACTAGCCCTCCAGCTATTCATAAACAGCATTGACACTCCAGAGAAGCTCAGATTGAACCTCCACTCACTGAGTGTGAGTGTAAGTGAGCTTTTAGAATACGGGCGTAAGTGTTTAACGCGTCAGTTCCCTCAAATATTTCTTACAAATCTTTAAAACTTAGAATTTACCGATGCGAAATTCCTCCTGTGATCACAGAAACGGTGTGAGCCGGGCTTCACCAAATCCAAACATGCATCAATCGTCTTTTTCAGCATGTCGTGTTCCACTTGGAATGAGTTATTTCATGTTGAAAGGAACGTCTCCAAACAAGCCGAAGCCATCCAGCGTCCTTACCTATCCAATAACTCTGAATCATTTCTACAAGTTTTACGATCTCGCACCATACGCGTTGCAGCTCTCTTACAATGATCGGGGTTTTCGTTACAAATATTATGAAACCAGCGATTTTTATGGTAGGAACTACGGCGATTACGTGTCCTCTGTGGATATAAAACTTCGTAAGTATTTGTAAAGTTGTTCATTTGTCCGTTTATTTATGCACACTGAATCCTAATTTTAATGTTAAACTTAATCTGAACATTTAAAATCCAAACCTAAATTTGAGCTAATCTTATGCCCGTATTCTAAAAGCTCACTCGTACTCAAATTCAATGAGTGGAAGCTCAATCTGAGCTTCTCTCGAGTGCCATTGCTGTTTTTGAATAGCTGGAGGGTTAGTGTCATACCTTACTATGTGACTACTCACCCTCCAGCTATTCAAAAACAGCACTGACACTCAAGAGAAACTCAGAATAAACCTCCACTCATTGAGTGTGAGTGAGCTTTTAGAGGGGG